AGACCTATTAGGTCGAAATACGTATCAAGAGATACATGGGATTTGTTTGCGTGAAATCAAATATTTGCTGCCTTTTCTCATTTTATTCGGATTTACTCTGTGGGAGTACAAGAAACACAATTCGCTAAGGATTTCTGCTTAGTTGTAAAAGACATGTCGTGGAATGCAAATTTTAGATTCCCCATGTCTCTTTTAACATCTTTTATCAACGTCTGTTTGCCTTGCAATTCTTAGAAGGCTCAGATTATAAAGCAGAAATCTGAATTGTGTTTCGAAAACTATTTTACGATTGTTTAATTAGATGTCGCTACTGCGTCCGTATCGAAGCCATGTTATTGTTGCTTCTTAAAAGGCAGAAAATATTGATTTTTCACGTTGAGAAACCTCATGAATAGCTCTTCTGACGAGACCTATTAGGTCGAAATACGTATCAAGAGATACATGGGATTTGTTTGCGTGAAATCAAATATTTGCTGCCTTTTCTCATTTTATTCGGATTTACTCTGTGGGAGTACAAGAAACACAATTCGCTAAGGATTTCTGCTTAGTTGTAAAAGACATGTCGTGGAATGCAAATTTTAGATTCCCCATGTCTCTTTTAACATCTTTTATCAACGTCTGTTTGCCTTGCAATTCTTAGAAGGCTCAGATTATAAAGCAGAAATCTGAATTGTGTTTCGAAAACTATTTTACGATTGTTTAATTAGATGTCGCTACTGCGTCCGTATCGAAGCCATGTTATTGTTGCTTCTTAAAAGGCAGAAAATATTGATTTTTCACGTTGAGAAACCTCATGAATAGCTCTTCTGACGAGACCTATTAGGTCGAAATACGTATCAAGAGATACATGGGATTTGTTTGCGTGAAATCAAATATTTGCTGCCTTTTCTCATTTTATTCGGATTTACTCTGTGGGAGTACAAGAAACACAATTCGCTAAGGATTTCTGCTTAGTTGTAAAAGACATGTCGTGGAATGCAAATTTTAGATTCCCCATGTCTCTTTTAACATCTTTTATCAACGTCTGTTTGCCTTGCAATTCTTAGAAGGCTCAGATTATAAAGCAGAAATCTGAATTGTGTTTCGAAAACTATTTTACGATTGTTTAATTCATTTTATTTACAAAAACAGATTCCTATTTTGGATCAACTTTTAGTAGATATTAATGAAGACGAATCTTTGCCAAACATTAAAAGAGATACATTGTGTAAAACTTTACGTGAATTAGGATTCGTTTATGAGAATAACAATAGGAAATCTACGCTTATGGAGAAAGAAGAAATTATTTGATGGAATAGGCAATATTTAAGGAAATTTAAAATTGGGGAGATAAGGCAAAAATATTTTTCATTTAGATGAAACATGGATAAATGAAGGTCATTTTGTAAAAAAAGTTTGGCAAGATAAACTGGTTACAAATGCTCGTCAGACATTTACAGAAGGTTTGTCTACGGGCTTAACATTTCCAAATGGTAAAGGTCTCCATTTAATTATCACTCATATTTGAGGAGATAAAGGATTTATTAATAGAGACTTGCTAGATTTTATTTCAAATTCTACGAACGACTACCATGAAGAAATGACTGCTGATGTTTTTGAGGAATCTTTCAGTCAAATGATAGATTTATTACCGATCAATTCTGTAATAGTCATGGACAATGCCAATCGCAATTCAGCAATTCAAGATTAAAGGAACCATTACCTAGCACTAAATGGAAAAAGCAAGAACTCTTGGATTGGCTAATAACGAAAGAAATTGCAGTGTCAGCAGAAGGTTTACTCAAAAAGGAGTTATTGCAGCTATGCAAACAATCACCAAAAGTTAAGAAGTATAGTATAGATGAAATAGCAAATATGTTATCCCATTCTTGCATTAACAACTCTCGTAGCTCCTGTGGGGTAGATCTTGGAGAGAGTGTATGCCTTCGGATACTTTGACCCAACTGATCCCAGACACGCTGGATAGGATTCACGTCTGGACTGAGTGGTGTCAAATCAAACAGCCTAGTTCCCAATTCATCAAAATATTCTCTGATACCTCTGGCAGTATGGGGTCTAGCATTATCTTGCATGAAAATGTCATTTTCACCCCTAATAGTAATTAAAGGCATAACATGATCATCTAAAACTTCTGTAATGTATTTGTGAGCCGCAAGGGAGCCTTCATACAATTTTGTATGAAGATTAACTCTGTGCATATTTGTGAAGTAATTGCAACCCAGACCATAACCGACCCACTGCCAAATAGGAGTCTCTTACCAATACAAGCAGCAGCATATCTCTCTGCGGATCTTCTCCATATTCGACGACGTCCATCTGGCCCATTGAGACAAAAACGCGAAAAAAATCTCCAATTTACATTTTTACATTATTCCAATGGAGGTGAGCCATTTGGTATAAATTCAGGACTTAGGCAGGGGGATCCCTTGTCACTGTTACTGTTCAATTTTGCTTTAGAATATGCAATAAGTAAAATATCGTCTGAGCTGACAGGAGGATTTGCTGATCAAGGATCAAAACTGTTGCTAGCCTTTGCTGATGATATAGATGCAGTCACGCTTTCTACAAGAGACGTGAGAGAGGTGTTTTCACAGCTCGAGGAGGAAACAGGTAGTCTGGGTCTCCGAATAAATGAAGAAAAGATGAAATACATGGTAGTAACCAAAAATCCAAGACCAAGAGTTGAGGCAGAAGATCAGTATTAATGATCACCGAAGTAGTAAAGGAGTTTAAATACCTGGGGGCGATAATCACAGCTGAAAACCACATAGAAAAAGAGGTCTCAACAAGGATAGCTGCGGGAAATAGAGCATTATACTCCCTTTCAACGTTATTAAGATCGAAGCTGCTAAAAATAAAATCTAAGTTAACACTATACAAATCGATTATTCGCCCAATGATTACATATGGCGGTGAAACATGGACTCTCAACCAGCAAAAATCAATAAGCTTCTAGTATTTGAAAGAAGGGATCTCAGAATAATATTTGGCCATCAAAGTGATGAATTCAGAGGGGATAGGAGAAGACCCCGCAATGCTGAATTGGTGACTCTGGATGGAACCGAAAACATAGTTAGACATATCAAGACAAACTGAATAAAATGGGCAGGTCACGTGGTACGATCAGAGGATGACAGAGTGTTAAAGACAGTGTTTTTTGAAGGACCAGAGGTAGAAGATCAGTAGGCCGACCGAGAAAAAGATAAAAGGATGATGTTGAAGCCGATTTATCTAGAATTGGGGTACAAGAAGTACAGTGAAGAAGATGAGTCTGGGCAAAATTTAATCTTGCTATCCGATCTAATGTTGTAACGGTGGGCCTGTAGTTATCTTTCTGCAAGATAATCCAGCAGCCAGAAGTGAACGGTCCACTTACTAACATTAACATTTCTCACCTCTTGAAGTTGATTTTGTAAGAAAACCGCAGAGGCTTTCCTATTCCGCAAATTTGCGGATACCACAAACCGATCGGCTCTTTGGATGGTGATTTAATTTCGCTAGGATCCTGGCCCTGATTATTAGGCCAGTCTCCTTATAGCGCTGGTACACATTTTGAACTGCACATCGACTCCTTTCAACAACTCTTGCAGTTTCACGTTGTCCGTAGCCATTTTGTATCAATGTTACAATTCTTGCCACAGTAACAGGATCTAAAGGCATTATGATTCATTAGATATACACCATCAACAATACAATGTACCACCGGTAGGTTTTATACAAAAAAAAAAACAACACTACATTGAAACGTTGGCAATTAACTGGCAAAAAGGTACCACTAGAGTGAATGCAGATATTTGATAAAAAACGTCGTAAATACGATGACAGTACGTGACTGAATTGACAGATAAGAACAAATGATAAATCATTTCTCGGAAAGCCATATATCAGCGCCTACTAAGAAACCCATACAGCCGTAAACAAATTATTACCTCAAAATAAAAATTTTTAATGTGATCTATCTACAGTATAGATATTAAATAATAGAGGGCTTAAAACATCTCCGTGGTATTCACATAAATTGATATTACATTTCTAAATGTTCTAGATAGACTTAGAGACCTGTTACTTTGTGGACGATGTTTTTTGGCCAAATATGTTCACATGAAAACTGTTTAAAAAGAAAAATTTTCATTAAGATTAGTCAGGACTAAAAATTGATTTTTCCCTACAAAACCGGCAAAAGAAGATTCGCTAAAAGATTTAAATTCGCTTAAATTGTTGAGAGTTATTTACTTACTATTTTAGTAAAATGCCATGCTATTTTATAAAACTAATTTTTTCTCTTATAGACGGGAACAAAAAAAATCATAAATATTTAATTTTAATTAAAAATATAATCATTGTCATTAAAATATAAATAAGCACGCCGCTGTTCTGGTAAACACATCTTCAACCTTGAGCAGAGATCTTTCGGACACCCGATTATATAGTGAGAATACGGGACTGCTCAGTCTAGAATATTCTACATATTATACGTCATTGGATGACATCCCAATTGATTCGATTCGATTCCAATCGATTTGATCCCAATCGAGTTGATTCGATTTTATTCGATTCTATTTAAATTTATTCCAATGGATTCGATTCGATTCAATTCGCATCCAATTGATTTAATTTAATTTCAATCGATTCGATTCCAATCGATTTAATTTTATTTTATTAATAAACACGTATTGGACTGCCTTTACTATACCACGTAGTGCGTGGTCGTGCGATATATCGTTACAGTTGTTACAGTCGCTACAGTTGTTACAGTCGGTTTTATTTTTCACACCTTTGTGCGATCTGCTCCGTCCATAGCCCGTGATAAGGAAGCTATACTCCCAAAACGGTTTATTTCAAATATCAACAGAACCCTACCGTATGAAATGTTTTTACAACTTCATAACCATTTTATAAATTTTTTTTAAAATAATCAAAATCTGACCTGTTCTTGGGGATTAAGAAGTAAAATTTGCATAGTTTCAACTATATTACTTTTGTGATAAATAATTGGTTACCTTTGCAGAACGGTCTAGGAAGAATATTTTGAAAAGGTGCAGCTTGCAGTAGATCGCATACTTCTTCCTGGGATAATGCTTGTTCCATCAGTAAACAAAACAAAATAATATTTCCAAATTCTCTGAAGTTATGGAAAAGTTCAGTACGTGCGTCAGGATATTGCACTATATCATTAAGTTGTGCGTGATAGTAGCCTAGAACACCAGGAGATCCATAATCATATCTAGGTAGTTTACATATTTTTGGCATTGCTTCCATAAGCGTTTTTGTAAATTGTAGAAGGCTTCCTTGGATCAGACTTTTAACTATTTTCAGAAGTTCTTCCATTACTACTGCGATTCCTTGGTATCCGAGAAGTCTGCACATTGTATGAAAGTGCTGGGGACCAACAAAACCTGAAACATAACACGAACAATAATTTTTAAATAAAGTTTAAAAGCTATTTGGAAATCTCAGATTTTTTAAATATTTTAAGAAAATACTATCTACTAAATAAATTCAGATATAAAACTGACTATTGACGTTTCATCTTGCAAACGGCGAATATAATAGACCAGCATTTCTATGTCTGATTGACTTGAAGAAAGCATTTGACTGAGAAAGACTCAGAGATATAACCCATCTTCTACATAATAGAGAAATTCCTTTAGACATCATAACTATTGAAAACATCTACGAAAACAACGAAAAGCTTCCTCTTTTAGCTGCATTATCTGGGTGTATAGTAGAATATACTCGTCTTCTTCTTTAAGTGACATCTCCGCGACGAAGGTTGGCAATCATCATGGCTCTTCTGACCTTCTAGGCAGCTGCTCTTAACAATTGCCTTGAGTTGCAACCAAACCACTCTCTCAGGTTCTTTAACCAGGAAACGCGTCTTCTTCCTACCCTTCTCCTACTCTCTATTTTTCCTTGAATTATGAGTCTCAAGATGTTGTATCTTTCGCCTCTGATCACATGTCCGAGATTAGAGATGGAAATTGCCGCTATTTAATGGTAACGCGTTCTCAACGTTACGAGACAACGCGGTAATAGGTGACAGTTACCTATTATTTTTGTCACCATATTACCAGATGCGTGACAGATAACTCCCATCGTCCCATGCGTTCTTGCCTTGCCGGGAGCCGGGCCGGAACGACGAGCTATTTCGTTACTGAGTAAGACTATCGAATCGAAACGACACTTTGTCATCATTTCTACCTGCGTTATCGGAACGGAATACCAAATACCAAGCTATTTCGTTATGGCAGCCATTCTCTAAGTGTGTTCCGCGGAACCCTAGGGTTCCGCGACATCCCTGTAGGGGTTCCGCAAGAATTTAGAAAAAATTCCAAACAACTCTCACTGGTCGACCGTTCTGACGCGGCGTATCACGATTCACGAGGCGCAGCCGAACACATACATACACACATACATATATACAATTCATACACATACATACAATTAATACACATACATACACACATACATATATACACATACATATATACAATTCGCCTCGTACAATTTTACTATGCCGCCACCGCCGATATCTACTTGTGAGTGCGAGTCCCTTTGATAAAAGCCGCCCCTGAGATTAACAATAATTGTAAACAACCTCGCCGACTCGAGTATTTTCGAGAATGTTCGAGACTTCGAGATCTGGCTAAGACTATAAAAGCGGCGATCGCGCCGCGCCTCTACGCTTAGTTAGTTGACGATTAGTGTTCGGAGTGATAAGTACCTACCTGCTAGAAACAAAGTGTTTATTGTTCTACTGCTGTATTCTGATTGTACATTTCTTCTTTGGACTAAACTCTTTTACGCAGTAACGATCGTGCGTTATTTTGACCCCACCATCCTGACATGTAACATTATTAATAAAAAAGAATGGAACGTTGGCTTAAAGGCGTTAAACGTGTTGCAACAACATCTTCTAACGAAGCCGAATGTTCAAAAGTAGTTCGCGCGGAGTATACAGCAATTACCGATCCAGACGATTATGCAACGACGTCAAGTTCCACGGTTTCAAAGGCGAAAAAAAGGAAGTATGATGAATCATATATCAGTTTCGGATTTGTTGATTCCAAAGGCTCACCTCTCTGCATGTTATGTAGTAAACTGCTTCCTAATAGTTCCATGGCACCTGCCAAGTTGCGCCGACATTTAGAAACTGTACACCCTGAGTCTAAAGACAAGAATAAAGAATTTTTTGTACGTAAAAAAGAACAGTTATTGGAAAGTCAAAAAACTATGATGCATGTAACCCAAACTATCAATGAAAAGGCCACAGAGGCATCATATTTAGTTAGCTATCGCATTGCACAAGCAGGTGAAGCGCACACTATCGCTGAGAATTTAATAAAACCATGTGTGTTAGACATAATAAAATGTATGCTCGATGAAAAATCTGCAAAGCATCTTTCTACTGTGCCGCTATCAAACGATACTGTTTCACGGCGAATTCATGATCTGGCAAGCTACGTCAAACAAGAACTAGTTACACGTCTACAAGAAACACGTTTCGTCTTGCAAATAGATGAGTCTACTGATGTCGCTGGTCTGGCTATCTTGCTGGTTATCGTGAGATATCCATATGAAAGTTCTTTGGAAGAAGATATGCTTATGTGTTCACCGCTGCCCACAAAAACTACCGGAGAAGAAATGTTTAATAAAATAAATATATTTTTTGAGGAAAATAATCTCAGTTGGAACAATTGCATTGACATTTGTACAGATGGGGCCAAGGCAATGACGGGTAATACAGCAGGACTAGTGTCACGAATAAAAAATAAAGCGCCTAATTGTAGTTCCAGCCATTGTATCCTGCATAGACAAGCACTTGCGATGAAGCAAATGCCGTCAAATCTAAAATTAGTTATGGATGAAGCGGTAAAAATAATTAATTTTATCAAAACACGACCACTACAATCCCGATTATTCTCATCATTGTATAAAGATTATGGCAGCAAACATAAAACACTGCTGCTCCATACAGAAGTGCGATGGCTGTCTTGGGGTAAAACTTTAACAAGGCTATTTGAACTTAGAGCCGAGTTACAAATGTTTCTTTCAGATACTGCTTTTAATTTGAAAGACCGTTTGTATGATAAAACTTGGTTGTTCCGACTGTCTTTTATGGCGGATATCTTTCAAAAACTGAACGAATTAAATGTATCATTGCAAAGTAAACAGACAACAGTGTTCCAGGCCTGTAACAAAATAACTGCCTTCAAAAGAAAATTAGATTTTTGGATTATTTGCGTTGGAAAGAGAGAAATCGAAAGCTTTACCTCACTCAGTGAGTTTGTTAGTGATAACGATTCAGAAATGTTTCAAGATGATGTATTTGAGGAATTGGTCAAATATCTCACTTCGATGCGCGCATCTTTTGAGAAGTATTTTCCCGAAGAACAAAATACAAAAATGAAACTGAATTCATGGATTCATAATCCTTTTTTACCCAACTTACAAAAGCCCGAAAGTATGCCAAACGAGATATGTGAATCTCTTTTAGAAATGTCATCAGACACAAGTTTGGAGGCACTGTTCAAAACGACGCCTCTCAACGATTTTTAGTGCAGAATTCGTGATGAATATCCAATGCTTGCCAAAATGGCACTGAATATTCTTCTCCCGTTCCCAACAACATATTTGTGCGAAACAGGATTCTCAACCTGTGCAGCTACGAAAACAAAATACCGCAATAGACTGGACGCCGAACCTGATATGAGACTTCAACTGTCCTCTATCAAACCTGATATCAACCAATTGATGAAAAATAAAAAACAGTTTCATACCTCCCTTAGTTAGATTTTTTTCTTTTTTAATAATTTCTATTATTATACTTGTTATGTAACAAGTATAATAGAAATAGTTACATAACAGATAGAAAAATAGAAAGATAAATAGAAAAAGTTACATAACAAGTATAATAATAGAAATTATTAAAAAAGAAAAAAATCTAACTAATGGGAGGTATGAAACTGTTTTTTATTTTTCATCAACTGTCCTCTATCAAACCTGATATCAACCAATTGATGAAAAATAAAAAACAGTTTCATACCTCCCATTAGTTAGATTTTTTTCTTTTTTAATAATTTCTATTATTATACTTCTTATGTAAGTAAGTAATAACTAACTGTTACATTGTACTTTTATTATGCTTATTAATAAAGAATACACTTTTAAAAACTATTGTTTTATTATAGGGTTCCGTCAAGTATTTCGCTTTCCAAAAGGGTTCCGTCACCAAAAAATATTGAGAACCGCTGGATTAGGGGATAGATTTGGCAATCGTCAAATCAGCAGTTGCCAGATTACAAAAGATGTTTTGAATTAATCTCGAAAGAGACAAATATCTACTCGTTATTACTTCATATATAATAAAAATTACAGAATTCATAAAATAGTATAATCAAAATGTACTTTTTAAACGCTTTATCTCTTTATATTTGAAGCATTCAACATATGCATTATAAAAACATGCCAACACTGCCAAACCCAAATATTTGTGACATTTGCGGCTATATTCATCTTATACTTTCGGTAAACTCAACCAAAAATATTTATGAATCCCTAGATGAGAGTCTTTTTGCAGTATCTCACACTATACATTTCAACTGTCAAACCCCTCTATACAGTTGTCATGAAAACAAAATATATTTTTTAGTTACTTGATTGGTCTATATACAGAAAAAAAACTGAAATAAGTACCTGAGTATTGTGAGTATTGCGTTGTGTAGGCTAAATTTAATTGTTTGGTACCCCAAAGGTAATGGTGAGACATTTGTGGAGGTCTGTCTCTAGAGACTGCGGTTCCAAAAGATATCCCTCGGTATTTGGTGAATCTGCAAAATAGCTCTTAATATAAATTACACCCATCGGATATATCTCCTACCTATTAGTTGCAGCATTATAGACATAATTAGGCAGAAAATCGTAATTCAGTTCCCAAAACACGTGCAGAGTAATTCTTCCATAAGGAGCTAGGACATTATGGTTTGCTTCCCTAAACATTGAATCGAAATCATCGAGAGCTAACCATTTACTTAATAATTTATGGCACAGTCGGTTTACCTGAAATGTACAACCACATTATGAAAACAATAATATATAGAAATAAATTGTTGAAAAAAATTAATGCACCCTTAGACCATAAAAACTGATAGACACGCCGTAATGCTATTCTCTCGTCTCGAAGAGTGAAGCCAACATGAAACGATTCACACATCTGTGGGTGACGTCAGTTTACGGTAGAAACGATAGAGATTAGAAATGTTTATAGGCGTTGTAAACTTTGTAAAGTGTTCCAATTTAAAAATTTTCCAATACATTAATATTTTAATTAGGGTATTATCTTGCAGTGCATTTAATTGTACGCAGCGACAAAAAAAGGAACAGATATATCATTTCATGGGTAAGTAAATTCACAAATTAAACTTGAAAAACATACCAGAAATTAAGCACCTATTATTTGACTTTTCCCTTCCAAAGTGTTTAAAATAGATACATATGAGAGAGAGTCTTATATATAATTTTCATTTTATAATTAGATTGAAAACTGAAGGATTAAGTAAATAAATTGTTTTAGATTTCCTAAAGATTCATTTCATTGAACATATCAATGATATTTTTGATATTTTAAATAGCCGAAATTTATTGGCAAAACACCTAAAATGTAGTTTACAGCAACATAATAAACAAGCGATTTTTCAAAAAATTGAAGAATTTATATATAAAATATCTTAGTTCATTTAAGCGTTCCAAAAATGGTGAACCCCTATATCTAATCCAAAGAAAGACGGGTTTTATTGGTATGATCATTAGTTTAAAGTCACTAATGGGAATTTGGAAAAATTACGTGGAGGATATGGATGTATTTTTCGGCCTATAAACTTTCTCAAGATCACTTAGAAGTTTTCTTTAGTTCTATTAGGAGTCATGGAGGTTACAAGAACAACCCAACAGCAAAACAATTTAAAGCTGCATATAAAAGACTCTTAATGCACACAAGAATTACAGGATCTATCCAGGCTAATTGTATAGAACAGGCACGTTCCATAATATTAGCAATGAGCACAACAAATACTGTGAAAATCAAAACTGTTGAGTATCAACTCATTGACAACTTTATAACTGATGAAAATAATGAGGAAACGATAACTAGTAACCAGGATCAGGAACGATACGAACGATTAGAAAAATACGAACTACTAAGCAGGATATAATATATAATGCAGGATAAAATCAAAAGCATAAGAAGAGGTAGGAAGACGTAAAATCTCGTGGCTACGCAATCTCCGTGAATGGTTTGGATGCAGTTCAGATTAAGGTCATTGGGTTGCAAATTTTTGAATGGGAGAAACCATTTTGGACGATTTTGAAGTCGATTCAGATAATCAGTCGACCACCTTTTCCAGGTTTCCAAAGTTGCTCGAGCTTAGAGAGATTTTGCCATATGCTAATTCTATTTTCCGGGATAGATGTATACTCCTGGTCGGGAAACGAGGTGAGAGATCTTCCAATTAAGAAGTGACCAGGAGTAAGATATGTGAAATCGGAGGGATCATTAGAGAGGGCACAAATGGGCCGAGAATTAAGTACGGCTTCAATTTGGGTAAGCACGGTACTGAATTCCTCGAATGTAATTTTGAGATTGCCTAATAATCTGTAGATATGATGGCTCTTGATAGCGCTTTCCCAAAGTCCTCCATGATGAGGAGATCGAGGTGGTATTGTTTTCCACCGAATTTGACAGGAGGCTAAAAATTCCTGAATTGATGAGTTAGTTTCCTTATTTTTCAAGAAATTATAGAATTCGAATAACTGATTTTTAGCACCAAGAAAATTGGTCGCATTATCAGAGAATATAGTCTGGGGGAGACCTTTTCGACTAATAAAGCGCTTGAGAGTAAGAAGAAACGCTTCTGTTGAAAGCCCACTGACTAGCTCTATATGAACCGCACGAGTAGACATACAGATAAACACAGCTATGTATGATTTTATCAAGGGACTTTAACGAAGTTTAGAGGCTTTATTAGAAAGGGATCACCAAAATCCAAACCTACATGAGCAAAAACTTGAGCGGAGCATAAGCGTTCCTTGGGTAAATCAGACATTATTTGAACTAAGAGTTTAGCATTAAACTTGAAACAAATATGACATTCGTGTACTATTCTCTTAATCTCCCGTAGACCATTCAAGGGCCAATATCTAAGACGCAATTGAGAGAGAGTGTTCTGAGGGCCTGCATAATGGAGCCTAAGATGTTCTCTTTTGAGTATTAGACGAACAACATGATTTTTCGAGGGAAGGAGGAGAGGATATTTTTGATCAAAGGTAACTTCGGAATACCTAAGACGTCCACCTACACGGAGCATTTCATTTTCGTCAAGAAAAGGAGCAAATTGTAAGAGAGACTTGTTAGAAATAATCTTATTGCCTTTAAGATCAGCGATTTCTGAGGAAAAACATGAGTTTTGCAGTAAGTTTATAATTTTCATTTCAGCATTTTGAAGTTCAGATACTTCAAGAGGACCGGATAAATCGTATGTACTCAGATTTGCTAATAACGCAAAATCTGGCACTCAAAAAGCATTAACACGAGAGCTGACGAACTGCCAGAACTGAGCGCAGAAGTTGATACAATAACTAAATACAATTACAATATTAAATAAGTTGTTTTTACAACAAGTTCACTAGTCAGTGATGTTCACTAATTACTCTTTTTATCAACAGTTCCCCGTACCACACTGCACCAGATTGGATATTAGAAATGTTTAAAAAATAATTCTTTATTGATTTAAAATGGGGCGTTTTGAAGACTTCGTTATCATATGATTCTATAAAGCCAATTTATAGTTTAATCATTATACTTTAGTTTTAGTTATGTAATTGTTTTACATCAAACTACTACTAAAAATATTCAGAACAATCTTCACATAATGCCTGTTAAAAACTATATACAATACCTGTAGCAATCCATCCAGTTCTATGACTCCTGTAATGTCACCACCTTCAAATTTACTTATTGCCAAGTCTAAAGATTTCTGCATATCGGCATTGATTCGTTGGGTAATCAGCTTATTTAAGTCAATCGACCTACCTAATAATTGCACATGTCTTTGTTTAAGAAGTGTCTCGTAGCGATTGGCTCTGGGATAGGGAAGTAAATAAGCTCCAACTGCCGAACATTCAACACGAAATCGTTTATCAAGAAATATGCTAAAATAAAATAAAAATGTAATAAAATTATAGGAGCAGTTAATAGTAGTATTATAAGATTAATTAGTAATAGTAGTATAAGATTATAGAAATAATTGCCTCCAGTTGACCAATTGGTATCTAACTGGATTGTTCAGCAGCTTTAAGAGCGTAGGCGCAAAATTTCGGGCCAATGCTTTTTAAATGCAATCATTTTTTTCGAATCCTGAGAAAACTAATAAATATTTTTGAAAAATTTAAACGCAGAATGAAAGATTACATCAATACCGAGGGCCGAAAGTCCCTGAAAACTTCTATAATGTTTATTTTAATTAGTTACAGGGGTGAAAAACAAGAGAAAATTTAGTGTGATTTTTAATCTCATATATCTCATTCAAAAAAACTTTTTGTTTATTCTAAGGGACTTTCGGCCCTCGGTAATAATGTAATCTTTCATTCTGCGTTTAAATTTTTCAAAAATATGTTTTAGTTTTTTCAGGATTCGAAAAAAATGAACACTATGTCCGCGGTAATATTTTCCAAATCGAACATTCCCTATCTTTGTCATACAACGCACTCAGTCGAACTGAAAGTGGTGGCAAAGCTACTAAATGTTTGACACGGCTTCAGGAATATTTTGTGTTGCTTATTAAATAATATTAATAGTTTATTTGATAAATAATTAATTTAAGATGTGAAATTAATAAATGATTTATTATTTATTATTTATGGAAGATCTAAGTATCAGATGAAGTCATTAAAGTTCAAATAAAAGTATTATTTTATAAGAGTTTTTTTTTTTTTTTTAATGGCATAGGCAAGTGCCATACAGCCAGTCACAACATGAAAATATTCTACCCAGAAAAAAAAAAATTGAGTAGTACAATATAAAAAGATAATATAAAATTCAAACTTAAGTATCCTTACAAATTTTAAGCATTAAAATTATTATTAAGGATAGGATAGGGATAAAACATGGACACTCGTTTCTCGTCTAGGGACCCATCAAGACATTGCTTTTAAGACAAACTAGATTAGGTCACGGATAAAAGGTAATAACAAATGGGGTAAAACAGAGGTTAGGATTCTAATTACAGTTAAATATTGAGCTTACTTTTGCAAATAAAATCCATCAAACATTCATTTACAACTCTTATATTTAGAGATAGCAGATAGCACATATTGTACGGAGGAAAAATTTTGATGTTAACTAAATTTTTTATTAGATCTTCAGTTTGTTTTGTGTATTTTTTACATTCGAAGAAAATGTGATTTAGATCCCCTTCTTTTTGACAGTCTGGACATAAATTTGAATTTACGATTTTTAGTTTGGACAGATGACTAGGATAGCAGGCGTGTCCAAATTTTATTCTAATTATGGATGTTATATACCTTCGTGGAACAGAATAATTTTTAAACCAATAATCACTTGGGATTGAAGGCTGTAAAGAAGCATATTGCGAGGAAGAATGCGTACTATATGTATGCCAAGATTGTTTCCATTTACTATTGATATTATTTTTAATTATTGTTAATGCGTCTTGTCTACAGATTTGGTGACTAGCTTGCGTTCCGGTATCAATGGCCTTTTTAGCTAATAGGTCAACATGTTCGTTGTATTTAAGACCTATATGTGCTTTAACCCACAAAAAATGAACAACTCTTCGGTTTTTATAAATGTCATAAACAAGTTTTTTAATTTGAAAGACATATATATTTGAGTTATTACTAGGAAAATTTAAAGTTTCAATGGCTAACATAACAGACAATGAGTCAGATACTATTGTAACAGATGTATTCTGAGTGTTTTCAAAGTATCTTAATGCTTCATATATTGCTACAGCTTCAGCACTAAAGATTGAAAAACTAGGATTTAATCGATAAAGTTTTTCTGTATTAGTTGATGGAATGTAGAAAGCACATCCAGTACCAACAATAGACTTTGAGGCATCCGTATAAATAACTAAAGAGTCTGACAGACTAGATAAATAGGACCTCAAAATATTCGAGCTAACAGAAGAATTTACATGGTAATTTGGTTGTATCACAGTAATGGGTTGCAAGCACGAATAAAAATGTTCGATGTTAAGATTATCCTCTGATTTAAAGTTGTAATCAAAATTTGTCAGGCTTCTAAAAGCCTCACAAAGTGGAGGTGAGTTCTTAAGTCTCCAATATCGATTAGTTAAATCTTCTTCGTTCAATTTTCTGATATTTGAGTAGAGAGTAGTGTTACGATTTTGTATATTAATAACAAACTTTTGACTGAGATATTCTCTTCTATAGCCCAAGGGATTTTCCAGAGCTTCCACATGTAGAGCATTAATTGGCGTCGATTTCATGGCACCTAAACAAATACGCAATGCTGCGTTTTGAAACACATCTATTGTTTTCAGAATATGTTTACTTGCTGAACCATATAATATGCATCCATAATCGATAATTGATCTAATATAAGATCGGAAAAAAAGCAAAGAAGTTTCCACATCTGCACCCCACCATGTTTTTGTAATTGATTTGAGGAAATTTAGACCCTTCTTACATCTATCTAACATAAACTCAACGTGAAGTTTCCAAGTTAACTTACGATCGAGAATCATTCCCAAATATTTAATTGAAGAACTGAAATTAAAATCATACCCATTCAATTTTACCTGATTTAGTTTTGGGATATTGTGTCGAGTGAAGATACTAATACTTGATTTACCTGATGCAATTTCAAACCCATTTAGTTTGAACCAATTTTTGGATCTATCATGTATTTTTTCTAAAGTTTGAATGCAGTTATCGTATTTTTTGGTAGAAGAATACATAAGAAAGTCATCAGCATACTGTATTATTTTAAAGTTGATATTTTTAATGAAAATGTTATGTAAATCTGCAGTATAGATATTAAACAATAGAGGGCTTAAAACTGATCCCTGCGGTAGTCCCTGTTTATTATAACGAGGACCTATAAGTTTATTATTGTTTGTTCTCAGGTAAATTTTTCTGCAGGAATAAAAGTTAAGAATAGTGTTTACCAATTGTGGTGGTATATGAAAATTTTTTATTAATTTTTCCATTAAAATATCGAGACAAACACTATCATATGCTCCTTCTATATCTAATACTATTGTCGGTAAATAAATATTACTTGAGAAGGAGTTCTGAATGTCCGTTACCAATGTGGCAAGTGCATCTATGGTACCACAGCCTTTTCTATACCCAAACTGCAAATCTGGAAGTAACTTCTTTTTATCTATCCACCATTCCAATCTATGTTTAATCATCCGTTCCAAAGTTTTCAGTACACAAGACATAAGTGAGATAGGTCTATATGAGTGAACGGAATTAGGATCTTTCCCTTGTTTGAGTATGGGGATAATGATTACATCTTGAAATTTAGCTATTACTGAATTATTCATGATTATATCATTAAATATTTCCAATAGTAAAGTTTTGGCACTTTTGGGAAGATATAGTAACATTGGATATTTAATATTATCTAAACCTGGACTAGTACTATTTCGATTTTTTAAGGCAAATTCCAATTCTAAGGTATTAAAAGATTCCAACAAAAAATGATATTGCTTATTGAAAGAATAGTCAAAAGTTTTGCAATTTTTTACAGACGGTGGAGCAATTTGATCAAAAAATTGTTCTTCTAAGGAATCGTCAAAACATTTTATAGAAGAAATTGGTTTTCTGTTTAATTTTCTAGCTTGATTCCATAAGCTTGCTGATGGTATATTTTTATTCAACTTTGAGCACCAATCAATCCAGCTCTTTTTAGCTTTATTTTTTAGAAATATTTTGGCTTCTGATACAAATTTTTGGCATTGTATATAATTGGCCATTGTAGGAGATTTCTTATATAATTTAATAGCTTGTCTTCTGTTATTCACAACATTACTACATTCATTATCCCACCAAGGAGGCGGAAGATGATTTTTACTAGTGAAAGGTTTAAAAGCAGGTATTGCCTTTTCTGCAGCCTCATTTATGCTATTAATAAGAAAGCAATACTTTTCGCCAGTGTTTTCAAATTCCATATTATTCTCAAAGAGAGAGTCTACAACATCTGTATACAGTTTCCAGTTTGCTTTTTTAATATTCCATTTACTTTTAGGTAAAATTTTTTCATTTGAATGGGAGGCGTTAGCAACTGTTATTAAAATAGGGTAATGGTTCGAACCAAGTGTATCTAAGAAAACAGTCCATGTAATTTTTTTTGCAATATCTGAAGAACTAAAAGTAACGTCTAACATAGAATCATTAACACCAGGCCGATTTAAACATGTAGGTCCACCAGTGTTCAATATTACTAACTCTAGATCATCTGCTACCATCTCTAGTTGCTTTCCAATATTATCATTTTTTTTAGATCCCCATAATACATTATGTGCATTCATGTCTCCACCTATTATAAGGGGAGCTTTTACTTGAGAAAAAACTTTAACCCAATCATCTGTTTTAGTTTTAGTTTTTGGTGCTCGATAAATTGATAAAAAATTAATCAAATTTTTTCCATAATTTACTGCGCATCCACAAACTAGAATTTCATCATTAAAATTGCTAAGGATATTTATTTCTTTAAAATTGAGAGTATTTTTAACTAGAATGGCTACTCCACTATAGCCATCATCACGATCTTTCCGAATGAGGTTATAACCTTTAAAGCTGTATGCTACATTTTTTTTAAACCAAGTTTCGCTCAATAAAACAATATCTACACTTTCTTGTGATAAAAATTGAACAAAAGAATTTTTATTAGATATTACAGAACGTGCATTCCATTGCATAATCTTCAAGAAAATTATTTATTTGCAAAAGTACCCTCCAATACTAGGCTAATATCATGCTTAAGAGTTTCGTTATTTATATTTTTTATATCATCGATAGTTTGTATTTTATTAAAAAAATTATCAAAATATGTAAATAAAGATTTAAACAAGTTATTTTTAATAAATTCGATATCATCAGTATTTGTTTTATGTGGATTGGATGACAGTGATTTAGATGGACCGAATTGAAAAGGA